CTTCGGGTCCTCGACCGCTTTCTGGACAGCCTCAATTGTCTTCCTGGATAAATTTCCAGAAAAACTGCCAAAGATTGGCATGTTGATGTGGTCCTTTGAGACTTCGACCATGGTAATGCCTGGCTTCTTCGACTGGATCCTGGTTGCCTCTATCATGTTCACCTCAGAGGGTTCCGCATAGTGGGCTTCAGCCTTCAGTGGATTGGAGTCGACAGCCATGGGGGATTTGTCAGCAAACTTTAATCTCCCTTCCTCAATAGCGTCTTGCACAAGATTCCTGAAAAGAAAACATTGAGAAGTTTTATGGCCCAAAAAATTATGATATTTGCAAAAACCTCTCTTCTTTCTTTGATCAAGAGGAGGCACTTTTACCCCAGGGGGTACTATCATTTGGCCATCTTTAACTAGCAAGTCGAATATTTCATCACATTTTGTGATGTCAAAACTATAAGTCTTTTTTGGGAACCTATCGTTGGTCCTATCTGGACCAATGGGATTTTTCCCATTTGAGGGGACTAACTGTTTACAAGAGTATGGAGGCCCTTGTTTTAATTCTGCTAAATCGACTTCCCCTTCTTCGACAGCTAAAGTATCGTCGAAGGATTCTAGATCTTCGTCATCCATCTCAACGTACGCTATTCTCTCTCTTTTGTGAGTTTTCGTTGCCTTAGCTTTTTCAGCTTTGAGGCGTTCGACCTGTCGAACTCTATCGGCCAGTTGGGCCATGTCTCTTAGGTACTGGGTATCTAGCTTCTTCCTAATGGAATAATCTAAACCGCCTGCGGCCATTTCGACCAACTCATGTTCTGGCACTTGTGTAAAACATCTCGCCTTAAGCAACCTAAACCTATTCAGATATTCGTCTATAGGTTCAGTGAAACGTCTCTTCACACTGGCCAGTTCTTTCAGGCTTATCTTGGTTTGCCCCATATAGAATTGTTCATGGAACAATCTTTCCAACTGGGTCCAATGATGGATCGAATTGGGGGGTAGAGTTGTGAACCAAGTAAAAGCGTTCTTGGTTAAAGAACTTGGGAAGTACTTGATCCTTAGGTTTTCATTATTCGAAATGTCTCCTGCTTCGATCAAATACCTCGCCACATGTTCGACAGTAGATTCTGTCGTGTCCCCAGAGAACTTAGTAAATTTGGGGACTTTGCTCCTAGGAGGTAAATCCGTTTGTAGCACATATTCTGACAATGGAGATGTAAAGTTGGGCCTTCGAAAGCCCATGTTCATTCCATTCTGAGTCATGATCCTTTCGATCATGGTTGCCAGATTGTTTTCCAAACCCATGTTTTGGTATTGGATATGCTGAACTACTTCGTCAGCATTTTGGTTTCTGTTAACCAACCTTACCTCTGGGGCTATTACCCTAGGCTCTTCGACAGGTTGTTCCAACCGTGCCCTAAGGTTTTCTTCGACAGGCTGTTGGGCCTGGTTAATGGTGGTTTCTTCCTCTACAAATATCCCCTGATTTCCTCTTATTTGCGCCCTTTGGGGCTGTCGAATAGGTGGGGGTGCTCCAAAGAAGTCAGCCAAACGCGTCATTTGCGCTGTAACTTGCTGATTCGATTGAGTAGTATTTTGTATTAGAGGATTTAGCACTGTACTCAAAGTTTGTGCCAACATTTGCACCATATCATGGTTGCTTTCGTCCATCTGTTGCCTCAAGACTGCTGTCGAGGCATTTGTAAGGCCATGGGCTACTTGGGACGTTCCTCCTAAGAGTTGGGTCCTATTTCTATTCGCCATGCCTACTCCAGAGCCTTGGAGTGGCGAAGAAGCACTCACGAAAGGGTCTGAATAAGTGGACGCAGCATTCGTTAGGCTTGCCAATTCAGAAGTTGGCATACCATAGAATGGAATAAATCCTGGGGGAACCACTGGCCTTGTGCCAATATTTCCCCTTGGTGGGGGGGTTCCCAAAGGTATTCTGGGGCCTGTTGACGAAGTTATTGGCCCCGTGGTTGTGACTGACACTGCTGGTATCGAACCAACATTCGTCGCTTCACTCACGGTCATATTAACCGTTGCTCCCACACTCGTTTGTGGGATTTCGTTATTGTTTGGCGGATTCGCCATCTCTTCCCTTCTTCTGGCAGTATTGTTATCGTTGGTGTATATTCTACCACTCCTCAATAACATACAACTCGAAAAGATGAGATAATTTTCAACAATCAACACACAGTCCCACCAGGTGTGCCAATTTGTTTACCTTGGGTTTTGGTAAACAACCGCTGATCCTCCAAATGGTTACTTATTTGGTTACTCGCAGGATCGATCAGATTGATCCTATGGACATAGGTTGATTTTGAAGTTTGATTAAGGTGGATAAGGCTTTAAATAAAAGGTTTCAAGTAAATTGCATAAAGGAAAGGCTTGGTAAAATAAACAAGGCTTTAAAGTAAAGGTTCGACAGGAATTTAAAGGAGAAAAACAAGTAAAATGCTGGAAAAGTAAATGACTTTAATTGATAAAATTGGTGTTTCACACATACATTTCTCAACAATTCTTTCGCTCACACTGGGTACTTGAATCTAAATGAGTGACTATGTATATAATTGTGAACACACGCGAGAAACTACATGTCTACTCCTATTTATACTAAAACATTCCAAGTAACCGTCGGGCAGTTACACTGCTTCGAGATCAAGCCACTTGGCACGTTCTCCATGCTCGACGCTCCAGATCCTTGCACGTTTGCACGTAGTAACTGCTGGAAACCGTTTTCCCTCCAAAGCTTTGAATTTCAAACTGCTCCACTCTGGACCATCGAACACTTTCGTCAAGAGACGTCTTCGACGAAAACTCCTTCGACGTCGAAGGCAATCAGCCTTCTTCCTTGGACGAAATCTTCTAAGTATTTTGCCATCTTTCGACGGGTACTTCGACAGGCTTAGCCAGTCGAAAGCATCTTTCAGCTTTTAATGGCTGACATCAATCAAAACAAAGGTGTCGAATTTAGGAGCCAACACTCACAAACTTAGAATCTCTAAACAATTAGGATTATCCGTTCTTCCCTGTCCATAGGATGAAAAGTAATGGTGACGACTCTTTATTTTTTGTCGATCACGACAAATACACATATACATGAAGAAATAATTTAGTATAGTTTAGACATATTAATGTGTGTGTGATTTAAATAGTAGTTTTGAAACACAATGAAGAAAGTAAGTTTGGTTTTTTTGAATAACACTAAGGTTATGTTTGGCTTGGTAGTATGTGATTAAATGAAATGATAAATAAATATATTCTAATTTTTTAGCGTGGATGGGGTAGCTCAACTTCTATGTGCTAGTTGAACAAAATAGGTGTAAGATACTGATTCAGGACTCAATCTCTTTCAACAACATTTCTTTGTAATTCTTATTATGTAATATTGTAAGCAAATTGTTGATACTTATAAATCAATAACTTTATCAAGAAAAAAAATATTTTTGGGATTTAGAAATTAATAATAAAATGGAATGAAATATAATGGAATTCGTTTCATCTAATTCTCTAAAATCCTCCATTTTTTTTGTTCCATCTAATTTGGGGTGTATGAAATATAGTGATATTTTATAATTAAAATATTGGCTAAATTATCCCCAGAGTCCTTTAAGTTATTTAACTGTAACAGGTTGGTCATTTATGTTATTTTCGCTACAACTAGGTCTCTTATGTTACCTAACGTCTTCAGCGTTGTCCTTGACCACAGATTCCGTTCCAAAAAAAGGTAATGTGGCACAAACGGTGCTAAGGTGTCTGTTAGCTGTGTGTTTGTTTTACATTAGAGTAGTTGAAACATTGGACTCAAACCTAAATTATATTATCCAACCCTAATCTGAGATCAGTGAAAGGAATCGTTAGAGGAGAAGGCTACACAGAAGCAATGAACATATAGGGAGAAGGTAGTTGGAGACGACGATGTTACTGAAGTTGACAAAATTGTGACGCTAATGTACGTTTCACTTTTTATAAATTAATTATGGTATTCATTGTATGTGGGTCTGTTGTTGATAGTAGAAATGTTAGTGTTCATATTAGGGTTTGATGCTCATTAGGTTGTTGTGTCTGTTTGTTATTGATAATAATAGGTAAAAATGGACATGGATGCATTTTATGTTGATATCCATCATGAGGGATTTTTCGTTGGTGATAAGTATGAAGAAAATGAAGTGTCAAACTGTAAGTTTGATGGTGATAGATGGAGTTACTTTGAGATGTTGGGGGTTGTCAAGGAGATGAAGTATCCATGGGTTCTTGAAATTTGGTATGACTTTACTGGAACATTGAAGGCGCTAGAAGATGACTTTGGTGCTTTAGAAACATTGAGTTGGGCCAAAACTAATGGAAAGGTTATTATATACATTATTCACCCTATTTCCCATCCTGATATAGAAGTTCCCTTACCTGAACCCCAACCTGAAGTAGTGTCAGATGAACCAACTGAGCCACAACCTGAAGTAGTGTCAGATGAACCACCTGAGGCCCAACCTAAAGTAGTGTCAGATGAACCACCTGAGGCAAAAATTGAGGTAGTGTCAAATTAACGCATTGATGCCCAACCTAAACTAGTGTCTAATGAACAAACTGAGGCCCAACCCAGAGTAGTGTCAAATGATCTAGCTGGACTCCAACTTGAGGATGTTATTGAGCAATAACCTGACATTATATCAAAGTGATTCAGTAACACTAAACCAATGTAGTTGATATGTTTTTCAGGTTATCAGGTGACATGATTTATGAAGTAAGGCATACAAGTGTTACTGGAGAGAAATTCACAATTGATTTCAAGAAGTTTAAGTGCTCTTGCAAGAGCTGGATGTTGAGTGGAATTTCATGCTGCCATGCAATTTCTTGCATCCAAAGAAGATCTGAAGACCCAACTGATTACATTCCTTCCTACTATTGGAAAGAGAACTACTAGGCTTGTTATCAAGCATTGATATATCCAACAAATGGGAAAAAGTTGTGGGAATTGACACCATATCCTGACATTCTTCCACCCCTAACTAGAAGGGCACCCGAGAGGCAAAAAAAAGAAGAAACAAAGATGCTGATGAAAAGAGGAAAGATATATCAAATTTTTCCAAAAAGGGTTTGCCAAAAAAATGCTCAGCATGTGGTCTTTCTGGACATGACAAGTCATCATGTCCTTCTGCACCAAGACAGTCCAAACTTCCATCACTGTACAATCCCAAAGTGCCACAACTGTCCAATCCCAAACTCCCACAACTACAGTCCCAACTGTGCAAGCCCAAACTCCCACCACTGTAGTCCCCATTGTTCAATCTCAACCAAGTCAGAGAGTTCATACTAGACAATCCCAAAATGTCACGATCGAATCCCAACTAACCTAAAGACTCAGACCAGGAAATCAACAGTAACCGAAAATCAAGGAATACAAACACGACAATCAAGTTCATCAGCTAGTTGCCATGAGAAGGGCTAGATAAGGACCAACAACAACATTTCAACCACCAACAAGTCAGAGACCAAAGATGACTTATAAGAGAAAATCCAAATAGAAAGTTATCAAATAGTTTGTTTTATTTGGATCCTTAATATGTATTTTGGGAATCTGTGGTATCTAAGCATATTTTAAATCTTTAGGATCTTCTCTAATGTATTTTGGGATGTGTGATAACACTCTTTTGGTTTATGTTATAACAATATTTTGAATGCTATAACATTTTATTAGTTTGGGCAAATATTATGTTATGACTATAATCCAGGAATTTACTGGTTTGTGCAAAAATTCTGTCATGTTTCTGCTGTTTTTTTATTCAACAAAATGTAACAACACATATCAGTAATGTACCAAACAGGTCCTACTTCTGTTTAAATTGTAACAAATTAGTCCTTCAGGATTTATTAATTTTACATGATATTAACTTGCAGTAACAAAACTGGAATACACATATATCACAAGTTAAGCAAAACTGATTAATCTGCAATTGTCATCAAATTTTACATCAAAGTACCAAAAGTTATGTGTTACAACAATAACATCAACATTAACTAAGATCATCACTTTTTAAACAACATACAAATCAACACTACAACAATCAAAGATAAACAGATTATGACATAAAATAGCATCTTCAACATCTTTAATACGTTTTTCATCATATCCTTATTGTAGTCGTCATCACTTCTAAGCATCTTGATTTGTACCTCCTTTTTATCACATTTAGAACACTTTGAAAATGCATTTTATGGTATCTCTGGTTTGCCTTCATCATTGTGTTGGTTTTCGTACTGGAGAAAAAAAGTTGCAGCCAACATTCTCATGTTCACTCTATTAATACAATCATTGACATGAAACCCAACTCAGACAAAGACACGGAAAAATGAAATATCATATCCAACTTATTCACAACATACATACCTTAAAGTATCTACATCCCCAAAATAGCTTACCCAAGTTTCTTCATTTCTTCTTAACTGATCTTATCACTGCTTTGGATCCACACATGCATGTTAGTTCGATTCTTGATTGGGATGCACTCGAAATTAAGGAATTTGAGTATTGTGCCATTGATGCAAAGCTGCAAAGCTTCAATATTAGGGTTCTCAAATGGGGAAGATTATTTCACCTATTGTTTTTCTTCTGAAATTAATGAAATAATAAGACAAATGAGACTAACAGACACCTCGGCACAATTAACAGACACCTCAACATCGTTTGTGACACATCATCTTTTTTGGAATGAAATATGTGGTCAAGGGCAACACTAAAGATGTTAGGTAACATAATGGACTTAGTTGTAGCGAAAATAACATGAAAGATCAACCTGTTATAATTAAATAACGTAAAGGACCCTAGGAGTAATTTAACCTAAAATATTTAAGCAAAAGTATAGAATCTCTAATTTCATGTTTCTTTGTTCCACGTAGGCATGACAATAATATTTGATCCGATTGAACTTGATTGAACTCTCCCCAAATTTAACGGAGAAAATGGATTTAATTGGAGGAATTAAAAACCCAAACTTGAAAAATAGGGGCGAGGATGAGAGTGTTGATACACATTCCAGATCCACTTGATCTTTTCAAAATTACTGAATTACTTTTGTATTTATTAATCTTATTACACGTTGACCTTTATTAAAATAGTATGTTGTTTTGATGATTTAATATTTAGAATTTTTATTAAAAAATTAAGTTGTATAATTAATTTATGTTGATTATTACTATTTAGTTTAACTATTGGCTTTCGATGATATAACAAAACGAAATACGAAGAATAGAAAACATGTAAACATACTTTGTTTTGATGCTCATCCATTTATGAGATGGAGACAAACGTTCAGTAATCATTCGATAGTGTTTGGGGCCAATGCGGTACAATGAGTTGGGAATGAGGTTGATAGTGTGAAAAATTGTCTCATTTTCATACTTAGTTCGATTAGATTTCATTATGTTTCATTCTTCTCCATTCCAACCTCATCCATCCAAACATAGCATAAGTGTATTTTATTTAATGCAAATACGATATTGTATGACACAATTTCAATTGTACTTGAGTAAATTAAAAACTAATTATGAGACTAAATAAAATAAAAAATAAGAGGTTAGACAAATGTTGAAACTCATTATGACGAGCATTTACATTAGATTAAAAATAATACACAAATGAGAGACACTATATATTTATCAAAAAAAATTAATATGATATCAGCTCTAATATCATTGTTGGGTCATTATGAAAATCATTTACATTGGGTTAAGAGCAACATATAAGTGAGAAAGACACTATATATTCACTTGAAATCTTAAGGTGATAGATGTATGAGTCATCTCACTTATAAAGTATTCAACCTCCATTTTTTTAAGAAATGTGGGACATCCAACTCACACTTGCACATAACAATTGGTATCTCTGATAGGATATTAAGACACAATAATACCAATACACAAAGGTAGATACCTGTGTTATATGTCCTCCAAATTCTAGCTCTATCCGATGGTGAACAAATCGGAGATCGTTGATTTAGTGAGACTGATTGCAGAAAAACGAGAATGAGTTTCAGTCATCTTTTTTCTCTTTTGAATTCTTATTTTCTCTTTATCACTCTCAATCCTAAATTGTCATTCTCCACCTAAATAAAAGCGACAAACAAACTTTTCATATGTGAGTCTTTCTCCTCATGAAAAAGTACTCCAAATCCAATATATCTCCCACTTGTTGGTGCAAGATGATGAAATTGAGGAAGAAGAGAGAAATTGATGAACGATACAAAGCTGCTACAAATGATTGGTAAGGAATTGAATAATATTAATGAAACCTAGTACACCTATTTATACACAAAGATATCAAAGATAAGAATGCCACATAGGCCATATGAGAGAATATTCCAAATATAGAAAATACTAAATTACCCTTTAATACCATCCCTTAATTTAGTATCTATCAGAAACTAACAACACTAATTTCATTCCTCAAATGAAGAAATTGATCGTTTTGATTGCCTTTGTCAGAACATTTGCCAACTGTTTCTGGATTCTACAGTACAGAACTTCTAACACTCCTTTCTGCACTTGACTTCTCAGAAAATGATACTTCGTCTCAATATACTTGCTTCTTCCATGTAACACTGGATTCTTGGCAAGATTGATTGCAGACTTGATATCAATCAACAACTTCAGAGGTTTCTCTATCTCAATCTTCAAATCCTCCAGAAGATTCAGAAGCCAAACAGATTAACATGCATCTACAACACCTGCAATATACTCAGCTTCACACGTTGACATAGCCACAATAGGATGTTTCTTGGAACTCCAAGAAATAGGACCTCCCAGAAACTCGAACAAGTAATCAGAAGTACTTCTTCTGTCAACTCTATGTCCACACCGGTCAGAATCAGAATAACTCACTAATTCTGGTTCTGTCTTTCTTCCAGAAGGAATAACACTCCATATTTTAGAGATTCCTTGATACACCTCAGAATCCTGACAGCAGCTTGATAATGAGACCACTTTGGTTTACTCATGAATCTGCTAACCATTTCAACTGCATAGCAAATGTCAGGTCTGGTATTGTACAAGTACCTGAGAGAACCAACCAACTGCTTGAAGGTTGTAGCATCCACATAATCACCATCAAAGTTAGAATCCAATTTATGATTGGTTTCTGATGGTGTCACAACAACTTTATAATTCTGCAGCTTAAGTCTCTTCAGAAGTTCAAGTTCATACTTCAGCTGATGTAGAATGATACCCTTCTTTGAGTATAAAATCTCCATTCCTAGAAAATATACCATATTTCTCATATCTGTCATCTCAAATTCATTCATCAGAACTTCTTTGAACTTGATTATATCTTCTGGATAGCTTTCTGTTAGTAATATGTCATCAACATATAGACACACCAGAATCATATTGCCACCATAATGCTGCACATACACGCCATAATCCATCTCACATTTCTGAAACTCATGCCTCTTGAAAAACGAATCAATTTTCAGATTCCAAGCTCTGGCGCTTGTTTTAATCCATACAAGGCTTTAAGTAACTTGTATACCATCCCTTCCTGATTATTTTTCACAAATCCAGGGGTTTGTGACACATATACCTCTTCTTGTAATGGACCATTCAGAAATGCAGACTTCACATCCAGATGTATCAAAGGCCAATTTCTGTTTGCAGCTAAAACAATCACCAATCTGATTGTTTCATGTCTAGCTACAGGCGCAAACACCTCAAAGTAATCTAGCTCGGGTTTCTGAAGAAAACCTCTAGCCACTAGTCTCACTTTGTGTTTGCCAATTAATCCATCTGGCTTAAGATTCACCTTGAAAACCCACCTAACGCTGATGGCTTTCTTCTTTTCTGGAAGCTTTGTCAACTTCCAAGTTTTGTTTCTTTCAATAGCCTCAAGTTCTTCCTTCATGGAATTCAACCATACTTTCTTCTTGAGAGCTTCTTCAATACCCACTGGTTCAGAATCTACTAACATGGCACACTGAACGACTTCTCCTTCAGAATCTACTTCAGTGTCATGCAACATGTTAAAATCTGTAAACCTACTTGGTATTTGTATGATTCTCTGTGGCCTCTAAACTTGTTTTGAAGCTTCTCCAAAACTTGGAACAGTGCTAGCTTCTGGACCTTGTCCAGAACTACTTCCTTCAGAATTACCACCTTTAGAGTTACTTCTGGAAGCTTCTCCTCCATACCCTATGTCTTCAGAGTTTTCCCTTCTAGAAATATAATCACCACCAGATTCTGGATCATCATCAGAATCTGGATCAGAATTAGATCCACTATCAGAATCTCTCTGAGATTCTGACTCATCTTCAGAGTCTTCAGAATCAGATTCGTCTTCTGACTCTGACTCGTCTTCATAACTTTATAAAGAATCTTCAGAAATTAACTCTGGTGTTGGAGCTACACCAGAATTTGATTGATATTTGTTCCAATTCCATGTTTCTGACTCTTTCACAATAACGTCTCTGTTGATTTCAACTTTGTTGGTTTCTAGACAATAAAGCTTATAAGCACCTGTACTGCGGTACCCCACCATTAACATTACCTTACTTCTATCATCCAGTTTCCGTCTTCTAGCTTCTAGAACGTGTTTGTAACATACAGAACTAAACACCCTCAAATGGCTAACACCTTACTTATCTCCAGTCCATTTTTCTAAAGAAACAATTTCTTTCAGCTTCTTTGTTGGACACCTATTCGGAACATATACTGATGTGGCAACAACTTCTCCCCATAACATGTGAGGTAGCTTCTTCTCTTTTAGCATACTTCTGGACATATCAGGCAAAGTTCTATTTCTTATTTTAGCAAGACCATTGTGTTGAGGAGTATATGGAGCAGTAACATCATGTTCTATTCCATTCTCCTCACATAACTTTTAGAACTCTGTAGAGTTATACTCACCTCCACCATCTGTTCTCATAATCTTCAACTTCTGACCACTCTGCTTCTCAACCTTCACCTTAAACTTCTGAAACTCAGTAAACACTTCATGCTTGAACTTGATGAGTGTTACCCATATCATTTTGTGAACTCATCCACAAAAGACACAAAATATTTGTTTCCTCCAAGTGAAGATACTGGAAATGGTCCACACATATCAGAATATACTACTCCTAAAGCATGATTCGCTCTGGGGGCTACTTCTGATGCAAATGACAATCTGGGTTGCTTGCCTTTCATGCATATCTCACATGACTTCTCAGGCTTCACAATCTTCGAAATGCCATGTACAAGCTTCTTAGAACTTAGATGTCCTAAGCTTCTATAGTTCAAGTGCCCCAACTTCTTGTGCCACAATTTACTGTCACCTTCAACACCTTCTGCACTAAGACACTCTGCTTCAGCTGTTTCTACATTCACCTTGAATGTTCTGTTGCTTCCATGCTCAGACTTCATAATCAACTTCTGATTGGAATCATATAACGTCAAGAGGTTGTCCTTCATAACAACTGAGAAACCTTTCTTAATGAGCTGACCCACACTCATCAGTTTGCTTTTAATTCCAAGAACATACCAAACATCTTTGATCATAATGTTTTTCCATTCTTCACTTTGACTCTGACATTTCTCATACCTTCTGCATTAAGATAATTATCATCAGCACATCTGATCTTTGTTCTCCTTTTGGAGTCAAAGTCTATCAACCATTGTTTGTTCCCAGTCAAGTGGTTTGAACAGCCAGTGTCTATATACCACCAATCTTTTGAACACTTTCTATCAGAATCAGAAGCCATCAGTAGCACAGGTTCATCATCAGAATCTCCTCTGGCTATATTTGCTTCTTCTGATTTCCTTCCTCCGTTTCTATAATCTATGAAAAAATGGCCAAACTGTTTACGACAATAACATTGAACCTTCTTCTTGTCATACCTTTCCTTTCCCTTCTGATATTTCTTTTCATCAGAAGTTGAGATTTCTGACTTCTGGAATTTATCACCACATCTATTATGCTTCTGATCCTTCTTGACAAAAGAAGCCTTTAGAGCTTGCTCAACTTCTCTCTCAGAAGTTCTTTCAATCAGACGCAACTCCTGCGCTTCTAGACTGCTTTGCAACTCTTCTATTCTCATGGTTTCCATATTTTTAGAATGTTCAATAGAAACAACAATGTAATCAAACTGAGGAGTAAGCGACCTCAGAATCTTCTCTATGATTACCTGTTCAGAAAGTGTTTCTCCACAAGCTTTCATCTCATTAGTGATCAGAATCATTCTGGAGATGTACTCAGAAACTTTCTCACTGTTCTTCATGTTGAGATTCTCATATTGCTTTCGCAGGGACTGAAGCTTCACCTTCTTCACTGACGCTTCACCACCGTAACATCTGAC